CACTTAGTTCTCTCTCTGAAGAATGGTTTCCTGATAGTGAATCTCCTAAATGTTAGCAATCTGCCGAGGCAAATAAGTTCCCAAATTGTCAAGCCTTCATTCCATTTTGTCCCTATATCTCTTCCCCTGATCCATTTCTCTCCTTTTGCATTTTACTCAAGTATTAAGAAGAAATAGACCACTCCTTCAATATTTAGCATGGAAATTTCTTCAGCTAAATATTCAGCATCTTCGCAAGTTCTGCTTTCCATGTAACTGTAGGACACAAAGCAGCTAAACATCCTGCCACCACAAAGCAAGGACTTCCTGTCTTCCAGTCTCCAATAGCATGTATCTCGTTTTCTTCTCAGACCTCACCAGAAAATCTCCTTCGAAATTTCTGTTTCTACCAACATTCTGTTTTTGACAATCTAAGTATTCTCTAAGATGATGTATAAGTCCTGATATAGTGCTGTAACCTAAGCACTGGACTTCTAACCACGACGATGGAGATTCAAACCTACCAGCCACTCCTTGGAAATCCTATACAGGGTCACTATGATTCCATACTTACCAACAACAGCAAGATGACATAGACTTTCCCTACCACGCTCCCTGCTTCCTTCTGAGTCCTCAACAGCAGCATGTCATCATCCCCGTTCCCACCACAAGTCTGTTACAGGTACTCTAGGCTTTGTTTGTCATGTGATGTCCTGAGGACCACCAGCTCCTTAGTGACTATGTCTGCGCCATCTCCTTGTCATCACGTATGATGTTTCAGCAAGTCTGCTTAATACTCTTGATGCTCATGTATGATGAGACATTACATGTACTCCATCTCATTATTAACATGATTCATATAGTAAATGGCATCTCCTTTATAACCACATATCATGTTACACTACTGATGAGACCTCCCCTTGGTAGCCATGTGTAATGATATATGTGCTATCTCTGGTTGAAACCATGCTCAGTGCTTGCTATACACTGTACTATACCTTGAATAGCCATGTATAAAACCATACTATTTACATTTCATCTCCTTTATGAACATTTATGATGTGATGAGTTAGCTACATGAAGAACACGAAGAACGTTGCATTACATTCCTGTCAACTCTTAGGTGTGCATGTGTTAGGCCATGCCCTTCAGTGTCATGCGATGATACTGTATTTATGCCATCTCTTTGAAAGCCCTGGATGACTCCACAGTCAGTCTCTCTCTGTCAGATCCTGGGATATAAGATATGACACTATACAATGTAGTGTGTCACACTGTTGTTGCTAAATGCTGTCAAGTCAGTTCCAACTCATAACAACTCTATGTAGGGTTTGTGAGGAGCTTCTGGTGGGTTTGAAACTGCTGATCTTGTGGTTGACAGGTTCACAATCTAGTGCTGATCTACAGCACTACAGTAGGAGTCCAGTGTGTTACATTTGTTGTTGTTGTTAAGTGCCAGTGAATCAATTCTGACTCCTGGAGACCCTGTAGGGTTTCTGAGGAGTGGCTAGTGAGTTTGAATTGCTGACTTGTGGTTCAAACTGACCTTGCAGTCCAGTGCCCACCACACCAGCACTCCAGTGTAATTCCCTGATGACCACGTATGATGCCAGGAATGCCTGCATCTTCTGTTTTCAGACTTTGTGTCATCACCTTGAAGCCACTGATGATGTTGTGCTACGTCCTCCTCAAGCCATTGTCTCCCTGAAGATCATATCTTCAAGGAACACTGTTGGTACAATGGGTTAAGCATTTGGACTGATAACTGCAAAGTTAGTTGTTCAAACCACAGCTTCTCTGTGGAGAACAATGAGGCTGTCTGCTCCTGTAAAGATTTACAGCCTCAGAAACCTGATGGGACAGCTTTACTCTGCCTTACAGAGTCACCATGAGTCAGAATCAACCAGACAGCAGTGGGCTTGGAGTTCATCATTTCCTTGATAACAATTTGAGATTCTCCACTAGGTTTAATCTCCATGAAACCACACAGGGCACCATATTATCTGTAGGTCATCTTCCGGGAAACCATTCAGAGTGTGATCTTATGGACCATATAGTTGGTGACTGTGTCTGATGCAGCACTAGGTCTGTGTCAGCTTGTAACTTTATGTGATGGTCTATTAGGAGTTAATGACTGGTGAGTGAGTGTGCCTTGTCCTCTAAGTCCACTGCTAGGGTCACTCTCTCAGTGCGCCTTCAGCCTAGCGCCGATTCAACGATTGCTACAGGAAACCCAAACAAGCAGGCAAACAGACAAATACACACCTTTGTTTGGCATGCTCATTCTGTGCAACTAAGGAAGAATGTGGAAAAATTGATGCTTTTGAGTTATGGTGTTAGAGGAGAATATTGAACCAACAGATCTGTGTTGGAAGAAGTGCAGCCAAAGTGCTCCTTGGAGGCCAGGATGGCCAAATTTCATCTCTCATACTTTGGACATATTGTCAGGAGAGACAAGTAACTAGAGAAGGCTATCATTTTTGGTAAGGTGGAGGGTCAGAGAAAAAGATAAGAAAAAGTGAGATGGATTGGCAAAGCGGCAGCATCAATGGACTCAAGTGTGACAACGATAGTGAGGTTGGCCCAGGATCGGGCAGTGTTTAGTTCTGCTGTGCATAGGGTCGCTATGAGTCAGTACCAACTCGATGACACCTAACAACAACAACATTCTGTGCTTTAGGCTTTATAAGTTGTTTTTATATTTGCTATTCCTGTTGTTAAAGTGCCGTCAAGTTGGTTTCCACCCATAGGGACCCTGTATAGGGTTTCCGTATAGTGGCTGGTGAGCTTGAACCGCTGACCTTGCGGCTCATGCTGATTTCTCAGTCCAGCGCATTAACCCACAGCACCACATCAGGACTCTGTTTTAATATTTAGACATTTATTTTTGTTTTTGATTCCTTTGGTCTTTACACCATGTTTCATTTTTAAGGATTAGAATCTCATTCAACAGCGACATCTCTTTCTTTATGTGCAATATGCATCTTCTTTTCTTTTTTCTTGAGAATGCTGTAAAATGAAGTTTTCTTCTTGTTGTTGCATTGATTCCTAGAGAGGCAGCTCTCTTTATAGAGTCTTTCTAGAGAGTTCCAGGCCATGTTGTCTCACTTTTTGGAAGCTTCAAAATCTGAGTTTGTAAAATTGAGAGTATTTGTCTCCATAGGAGATTCCCCTCTGTGTTATTAACATACTCAGTATACGTGTTGATTGGGTTCCTGGAGGACTTTGGAAATCTCCACCTAAGTCATGTGCTTTAGATTTTCTATCACATGAATTCCAAAATCACAATTCTTACCACTGTGTCTACTTTCTCCTAACGTTTACAAGGTAAAGGTAAGCAAAAATTTTATAGAGATATTTTGCTTTCCTCTAAATGAAAAGAAAGTATTTACTTCTACGTCATCTTACAATTTGCATGAAGACAGCATCTTTTATCTGTTCAGGTGAACTGTAGCATTCCTTCTGACAAAAAGTTCACTACTGCTGTTTCTCTCTGTGTGTATTCAAGAGCCCTGGTGTGGCACTGTGGGGAAAGCACTGAACTGGTAACCATCAAGTTGGCAGTTCAAGCCCATTAGCTGTTCTCAGAAACCATATACAAGGTTTCTGAGTCAGAATGGTACACAACTCAATGGTACACAACAACAACATATGTATTTAAGGTGCCCTGGTACCCCTGTGAGTTAGGCATTGATTGGGCTGTTAACTACAAGGTCAGCAGTTTAAACCCACCTGATGTTCCACGGAAGAAAGATGAGGCTGTCTGCTCCCATAAAGATTTCCAGCCTTGGATACCCTCTAGAGTAGCTCTACTCTCCCCTATTAGGTTCCTCCTAGTCAGAGTTGACTCAGTGCTGGTAGGTTTGGTTTAGGTTTTTGTATTGATTTAACTCCTCCATTCCTTTAAACTGAGAAAAATTACATCTTTCATGCAAACCTCCATCCATGCATCTTACATTTATTTGTTGTCTGCTGTGTACCTGGCACTCTCTAGGCACTGGGCTGTAGCAGAGAACAATCTGTTGAAAAGAGTTTCCTAGAGGAGGGTGGTGGCTCAGGGCTAGAATCCTTGACTCCCATGCATGAGACACCAGCTCAATTCCCAGACAGTGAACAATCTACATGAGCCCCTCACACTTACCTGTTAGTGGAGGCTGATGTTGAGTAGTTTTCAGCAGAGCCTCCAGACTAAGATAGACCAGGAAGAAAGGCCTGAGTAGTGTACTGCAGGAGTCCTGATGTGGCGCTGTAGGATCAGCACTGGGCTGCAAACCACAAGGCCGGCAGTTCAACCCCACTAGCTGCTCCTCGGAAATGCTTTACAAGGTCACTATGAGTCAGAAACGACTCGATAACACTTAACAACAACAACAGTGCACTTCTGGAAGTCCCCCCTGACAATCTTGTGGATCTCAAGGATCTGATCCTGTTGTGTATGGGACCACCCGAGTCCCCTGACTCAATAGCAGGTAAAAACAACAGCCCCTGAGCAGTTACTCATTCTTTGGCAGGTCTCATGTACCTCTCTGGACTCCTGGTGGCGCTGCAGGCTCAGCACTGGGCTTATAACCACAAGGTCAACAATTCAAAGCCACCAGCTCCTCTTTGGAAACCCTATACATGGTTGCTATGACTTGAAATTAACTCAACAGCACTTAACAACAGCAACAATGTGCCTTTCAAATCATACCTCGGACCTACCTGACTTAGCTGCTCCATTCTTCTGAAACTTATTTTCCCTTCAAAACCCTTTGCTTTATGAGTTTTCTCCCCTCTTCTACCTGGGGACCCATTGTCTCCTCTAATATGCCAGGGCCAGAAAGGCTTTCCGGGAGTTGGGCCCTCCTCCCATGCCGTGGGACCAGCTTGTATTTCACGGCTGGCTCTCACCTCAGTCTAGAAAACGGACTTAGCAGCAAGCTCAAGAGTCAGTGGGAGAGATGTTTAGATAATTCCAAGTCTGTGTTTCAAAGATGTATATTTCAGATGAATTTACACATATCCACACCCTTCTTTAAAAGGAACAGCAAGAGTTTTCAGTGCAGTGACAAAAAAATGCATCGCCAAACTGGAAGGGCATGAAGGGGAAATTTCAAAGGTGAGTCGCATTCTCATTTAGAGCCATTGATTTACCGATAACATACTAGACCTGCAGCAAAGACACTCAGATCTGTTAAGTTGGGCAGGGATGGCCTAGAGGTTCAGGTTCAAAGGAACCCGACCTGTGTTCTGATCCACATCAGGGTCCTGCTTCTTTCTTTGCGTGGAGAAGGATATTGAGAGACTTTGGAAAAAAGATTGGGGCAGGGGGAACTCAAATGGCAGTGAGACTTGGTCTTGAATCCTTAGCTTTGTGAAGGGTTAGAGCCTTTGGCTTCCAAGGAAAGTTGTTTTAATTCTCCTGTATTAGTCTCTATAATATTTTTTTCCTATCCTAAAGGAATTGTTCTGTGTGAGAATAAAATCTATGCTGGGAGGCTGACAGGTGATTAGTAACATCCCCTGTTTGTGCTTATTAAAAATATACTGGGAATTGGTCACATCCATCTGGTGATGAAAAAATACCATGTTTGTACTATCTTCTTTCTTTCTCCTTCGCAGATTTCGTTCAACCCCCAAGGGAACCATCTCCTAACTGGCAGCTCTGACAAAACAGCGAGGGTCTGGGATGCTCACACTGGCCAATGCCTCCAGATTCTCAAAGGGCACACGGATGAGATCTTTTCATGTGCTTTCAACTATAAAGGCGATATTGTCATCACAGGTATGGGAGAAGTAAGCACCACAATCTCAGCTTTCTTTTTAAATTGGCTGTTAGTATTCCCAAACTGAACGTCTAAAGGATTGTACCTCTTCACCCCCAACGACCCCTGTTCCTCAGCTGTAACTCACTCTGGTAGGATGTTCTATCCCCATTATTTAATTGTAGTTGCATTGGGAACCACAGGAGTGAATTTTCTCTTCAGGTGGCTCAGTAGTGAAACACTCAGCTGCTAACTGAAAGATAGGCAGCTCAAACCCACTAGCCACTGGATAGGAGAAAGATGTGTCAGTCTGCTTCTGCAAAAATGACAGCCTTGGAAACCCTCCGGTCGCTATGCATTGGAATTGAGTCAGTGAGTGTGGATTTCTGGCTCCTGAAGGTTAGGGAATCAATAGCATCTAGCCCAGGATGGTCGTTTCTATAGATGAAAGGTGGATGGCACCCCCTATGGGATGGTTTCAAGATTGCCTTGCAATAGCAGGGATGATGGAAGGGAGAAGACAACTGTTACATTCTGGCTGAAGATGAGTAAAACAGTGAGAAAAATCTAGTGACGTTTTGAAATGTTCTAAGTGGAAGGTGCTCCTTCATAGCATGTGAATCACCCAAATCTGGAGACGTTCAGATCCCCTGCATTTCCATTTGGCGGCGTGTTTGAAGGAGGGCAGAAGGAATAAGCAGAGGGCATGGGTGAGGTGGCTACATCCTTGGGATCTCTCCAGTTCTAAGATGCCATTGAGTTTTGCTGCTGTGAGTAAGACTGGGGACCTGGCTAATTTAGCACCAGTTGTAATCCTGCAGAACCACATACACACAAAACAAACACGCACGCCTTCCCAACTGTGGGCCCTACTCAGGAACTCAGTCTGGCTCATTCCACACATCAATAATTGTGAGTGGCCCCGCCCACCTTCACAGAACACTTGTCCATCAGAGACTGTCTTGGGATTCATCTTTATAAAATGGACTCTGCTCACTCACACCTTTGACCCCCTGCTGAAATGAAATTGATAGAAGATGGTTTTCCTTGTTTACAAATAAGCAGCTTTTGTTAATTTGGTCTCAGATCCAGTGTTCTCTTTGACCAAATTAAAACAAAAAACAAACTCAGAACCATCATGTCAATTCTAACTCACAGGACAAAGTCAGCCCAAAGGGTTTCCAAGGCTGAAAATCCTTATGGAAGCAGACGGCCGCATCTTTCTCCAGTGAAGTGGCTGGTGGGTTTGAAGTGCTGACCTATTGGTTAGCAGCCAAGTACTTTAACCACTGTGCCACCTCTGGAGCTCCAGAAAGTGCCAGTTCATAATAGAGAAAGTGAAGTGGCTAGACTCTTGGCAGAACTAACATTGTGAATTCTGTTTTACTAGGCAGCAAGGATAACACCTGTCGGATATGGCGCTGATGCACAGAAATTGATTGGTGAACAAAGTTGTTAGCAATGGTGATCAAGAATTTGAGCTTCAGAGACAGCAAGCAAGCTGTTTTGATACTTCATATACTTTATTTATTTATTTTTTTTTGAAGTTGCCCGTTTACACACGAGTGCCAATTAAAACTGATGTGATTCTACAATTTATATGATTTGATAGGGATGGTGGGAAACAGCCTGGCTAAGGTTACTGGATATCTCAGCTTTGTTTTAGGTTTTAAAGACCTGAATAGCCTCATAGCTCTGATGAAGGGAAGCAGAGTACTTTATTCTATCTAGCTCTGTGTCTCCTATACTCCCTTTTGAAGGCATTCATGACTGTGCTTTCTGAGGCATAAAATTTTTGGAGAAAATTTTCTGTGAATTGTGTATCTACATTTAAGATGTATGTTTTCAAGGGGATTTAGACTGGAATTTTTATTGTTGATGTTTTTATTTTGCATGTTGGAGCAAAGAATGAGAGCTACAATTTTGAAATAAAAGCTGGACTTTACCTTCCTTCATCTTCAAGAATGTATCTCCCTCCTACCATTTCCCAACTTCTCCCTGCCCCCCACCACCCAAAAAAAGTTGTGGATATTCACCATATAAAAAATGTTTTACAAATTAAATCAAGAGAGTATATAGAGAAAACAAAAATAGCAAATATATTCTAGATGAATAAAACTTAAAAACCCAAACCTGTGTCAGCAAGGTGATTCTTACTCATGACAACCTCACAAGTGCTCCATCGAATTTTCGGTGGCTGAGACTTTGGAAGTAAATTACCAAGCTTTTCTTAGGAGGTACCTCTGACTAAGTTCAAATGGCCCCTTCTCTGGTTAGTAGTCAAGAGCTTAGCTATTTGTACCAGCTAAACTAGAAACGGAGTCCTGGTGTGGTGATGCAGGATAAAGCACTAGACCATGATGTTGGTTTGAACCACAGATCAGTGGTTCAAACTCACCAGCCACTCCTTGGAAACCCTTTACAGGGTTGCTCTGAGTCAGAACCAACTCAACAGCAATAACAAGGCCGAAAATGGATGGAAGAATAAATATGCAGATTTCTCTCTTAAGAAGTCAGAGAATGACCTGTAGATTATTGAAGTAAAAAAATCTAAGTTGAAGACAATTGAGGTATCCGAGCAAATCATCGGGCACCAAGCTGAGCGCTGCTGAAATATAAAGGATTGTGTTTTGTTTGTTTTTGCAATGAAAAACATGGTTTTCTCTTCTTTCATCTGTGGAAATTAGGTAAGACTTCTCTGCATTTTCAAGAAGTGCTTTCATGCTTGCACACACTTCTTGGTTCTCTCTCCTGTCAGCAGGTGGCACTGCGTGCCTTTGGACAGATAAGTTCTTGTTTCCTTACAGCTCTGGTTGAATAAGTAAGAAGAGTAAACTTTTCATTCTGTGTCCTTAATAGATGAGGGGATGTGTGGACAATCACACAGATTGTGGCATGGGTTGAAGCCTAGGACCCTCTTGGCATATCTGGGGCATATGACGTATCTCATGCATCCTGATGCATTGGAAAAACATTTCCCCATCTCCTTATGAAGATAAAAACCAGTAGGATGGGCAAGAGAGACTACCATTTTTCTTAATGGGACCTTCTGTTGGAAATTGTACTGTGATCATTTACTTTCCAACGACACCGTCTATCAGGGGATCCAATAGTAAATTCTGTCTTTTAGTATTAACTGATGAAAGTCTAATATGGGCTTTTTTTTTTTTTTTAATGTTTCAGTAAAGTTTATTTTAATTCCAATGAATTGAGAGTTTAAGAATTGTGAGTACTTTCAATTTTATTATTTCGTCACAGTCCCTAAACTACAGAGGATCAAGCTGGTTTGTGTTTGATCGTGAAAGACAAGGAGTTCTGGTGACACCGTGGTTAACGGTATAACTGCAGAGAGCTTGATGGTTCGGACTTGATGAGATCGGCTTCCATAAAGTTCTGAAGTTTCAGAAACCTTAAGGATCAGTTCTCCTCTTTCCTACAAGGTTGCTATGAGTTGGAGTAGACTTTAAGGCAGTGAGTTTGGCTGTATGAATTGAAGTCAACGTTAAGTCATTGGATTTGGTTTTTAGTATTGTTCAAGCTCACCAGTTGCTCCTCGGAAACCCTATACAGGATTGCTGTGGGTCAGAACCGACTTGATGGCACTTAACAACAAATACTAACCACTGAGGGAAGCATGTGGTTAAGGATATGCTGGTAGATCTGAACCCACCAACCAGTCCCAGGAGGAAAAGACCTGGCAACCAATGGCATAAAGATGACGTCCTAGGAAAACCCATGGTACAGTTCTTCTCTGCCATGAGCTTTACTATGAGTCAGAATCAATGGCACCCAATAACAACAGCATTGTTTCTTGTGAACATGGCTTCAATGCCTTGAATTTAAATGTATTGAGGAACTGATCAAGACAAACATTCTCCTCACTTGTATCATGGTTTGAGGCATCACTGCAATAGACAGAAAAACCTTCCAACTCATCTCCTTCCAGAAAACAGAGAATCAAATAAACGCAGGGAATATTTTAAGTGCTCATGGATTTTTATGGATTCAAGGGTGTGGGTGAAATTTGGGTTCAACTAAATATTTGGTGGCTATGGTTCTGAATTCCAGGAGCATACTGCTTGGCAATGGCTCACCTTCTAAGTAAGAAATCAAGTCTCTTCCAACTGACCCAGCAACGGAAACCATTGTAGATGAGGGCAAAGAGGCAAATGTTATTAAGTGGCATTTCAAAAGTCTTCCTATAGTACTCCTTCCAGAACATGAGACACTATTGTATCCCTTTATGAGAAAAATAAGAAGAAATTTATAAAATTCTTAAAAAAAAAAAAAAATCTAATGGTTACTACACACTCCAGAGTGCTCTGTTGTACTTACTCAACATTTTCTTAGTCATCCATATCTGAGGAGGTGATGAACTTGAATTTGAATTTGAAATTCAGTTGCTCATGGTGTCCATGGATGAAGCCAGTGCTCTGGATAAAAATGGCAAAGACATGTTTCCCATGGGCACTTCTAGATTCTTGGGTTTGGGCTGTTGCCTAGTGTACAAGGACCTCCCTTTGTTATTGCAGTTCCTGGTTTAGAACTTTTCTCCATCTGTGCACTTCTAGGATATCTTATTTTTAATGATGGAAATAACTCCAGGAGGACTGATTTTCTAGTCTGTCCTGATGTGGTTTCCCAGTTTGCTTGCAGGAGTGTATTTTCTTGGAATGAAGATTGGCATGACCACTTTGCCCTAGGCAAGAGGAAGCTTGTTTTCTAAGTGTGTCTGGGACAGAAGAATACCTACCTATTCTAGTCTGGAACATCTCCACCAAAGTAGATTAGCAGTTAGTATTCCCGAGTGACTACCATGAATAAGCAGTTAGTCCTTGCCATATGGAATTACCAATTTTGACCATTTTTCATTTACAAAGAGGAAGTTTCATATGGTTCAACCTCTATGTTGTGGCTTACGGACAAGATGAGAGATTTTCTACCCAACATCTTAAGCAAATCCTGAGTAAAGACCTATCACCCATGACTGCATACTTCAAAGGGAAGATGGCAGAATTCAAACCCAGGCTGATGAAATCAGGACCTATATGCTGACTGGAGAGAAAAGCCACCCAATGAGGAACATGTAACAGACTGCAGGGACTTGGGAATCAAGCAATGTCCAACTCCTCAATCTGTTACTTCTGAACAAGGCAGTTCACATTATCTGTACAATGGAAATGTCCTAATAGTGCAAAGTGTAGTAACACACAGGAAAGACGAGATGTCCTTGACCTTCTCCTTTTCTAAGAACGGGGCATCTTATGGCTGGAATCAGCTCTGACTGATGGGAAGGTTTATTTTACTGGGGTTTGAACTGCCCTTCTTCAAAACTCTGAGGCCAATTCCTCTGCTGCTCATACTGCTGCCCAAAGTCTCCCTTCTCACATGTGTTCTGTGTCTCTCACCACGTTGTACTAACTGCCTGGGGAAAAGCAAGTGGTCTATATTTAGAACAGCAGCAGCTGCTTTCTCAAGCAATTTAGTTAGTGCTTAAAAGTATGAATCCAAATTCTTAGTATTGCCTGTATGTAAACTGGACTCCTGGTGTGTCGCTGTGGGTTAATGTGCCAGAATGCAAAGCTGTTTGAACTGCAAGGTCAGTGGTTCAAGCTCACCACCTGCTCCTCAGAAACCCTATACAGGGTTGCTATGGGTCGGAACTGACTTGACAGCAGTTAATAACAACAACAACAACAACAACAACATTTGTAAACTGGACTCCTGGTGTGGCGCTGTGGGTTAATTCACCAGACTGCGAAGTCTGTTTGAACAAGGTCAGTGGTTCAATCTCACCAGTCATTCCTCGGAAACACTAGACATGGTCGCTATAGGTCTGAACCGACTCAATGGCAGTAAATAATGACAACAATATGTAAATTCTGGTAGTGTAGACAGGGTCGCTATGGGTCGGAACTGACTCAATCGCAGCAAATAATGACAACAATATGTAAGCTCTGGTAGTGTACTGGTTACGAGTTGGGCTGCTAACCTCAAGGTCAGCAGTTCAAAGCCACCAGCTGTTCTGCTGGAGAAAGATGAGGCTTTCAGCTCCCATAAAGATTTACAACCTTGGGAACCCTATGCAGGGTCACTAGGGGTCAGGACTGACTCCACGGCACATGACCAAGCAACCATATGTAAACTGGAGTTCTGGTTGGTGCTGTAGGATAATGGATGACTGCCACGTCGGTTTGAACTGCAAGGTCAGCAGTTCAAACACACCAGCCACTCCTCAGAAACCCTATATAGGGTTTCTATGAGTTAGAACCAACTCCATGACACTAACAACAACAACAATGTGTGAATTTGTTTCAGACAATCTTTTAAGTCTTTATAGAGTCATATTTCTGGTATGGTGCTGTAGGATAAGCACTATAAGGTTGGTATGAATCACAAGTTCAGCTGATCAAATTCTATACAGG